ATTACATTTAAAAATATAACATTTATTCCATTATGTTGCTACAAAAGCATTTTTAATCAAATTTTACTATGGTCCATATGTTTTCTGATAACATGTGTAGTTATTTTTCAAAACAAACACAGACATAGCAACCCACTTTCAATAATGATATTTGTATATACATTTGAATAAGTAACAAGAATCCTTTCTTCTTTTCTTCCTATCTTAGTTAAATGGTAAGACACCAGATCATCTCACCTGAGTCCTCCTGGTCTTTTAGACCCCTGGATCTCAAGGGCCACTAAAAGCACTTGAGTCTTATAACCACCTACTTTATGTTTTCTGTTCCCTTCTGTCCCTGACCAGGATATGAGGGGATAGAAGGTGTACACTCAAGGATGACAGAACTCCTACAAGAGATTATGGATTATTAAGACTTTGCTGGTTAAGATTTGGAATCTGTATATGGGATTTCACCTGCTGTGAGAACTTAATGGCTGTTCAGGAATCTTGCCAACTTTGATTTTCCCAGACAATTCTTCCAGAAGTACTTAGAAATCTTAGTGTAATTCCTACAGATGTGCAGTGCTCTTTTTTTTTCTTTTTTTGCCAAGAGAAGGAAGGTTAACTGTGTAAATGTTGAAGAAAAGTCAAGTAAGATGGACAGTGAGCATTCACTTGGGGTCCATTGGTCTGGCATCATGAAGGCAATGAATAACATTTGGGGAGCAGTTTCTATTTGTAGAGAGAAGCAAAGACTGATGAGAAGATGAAGAAGAATATAAACTGTGGCCCTGAGGGGTAGGAAAGAGACAGGAACATAGCAAGAGTATGCTTAGAATAAAGGATATTTTTGTTTTCTTTTTTTCTTTCCTTCTTTCTTTCCTTCCTTCCTTCCTTCCTTTCTTCCTTTCTTTCTTTCTTTTTTTCTTGGTATTGAAAGGGACTTGAACAGTTTAAATGAGAGGTAAAGTTAAGAGTCAAGTACTACAGAAAGAACAGGTGAGACAGCTTGCCACGAACAAGGTGTATTTTTAATGATGAAATTTTCTCCTTTACCACAAAAATGGGGAAGAATATACACATATAAGTAAATTGGTATATCCTGTGGGAAAACATCAGCTATCACTAGTCTAATTGTTTCTTTTTATTCTGTGTGATAAGATGAGAGCTCCCTTGTGAACAGCAAGATAGAAGACAGGGGAAGGGGTAAGAGGTTTAGGGTAAAAGATAAGATTTGAAATAATGGTTGTAAAAAGTTGAAGAGTAACAGAATAGAGACTTGCTTAAGAGATCAGAGTCAAATACAGTCAATCCTCTAATAATTCTCTTTATAACCAGTATATTAGGCTTATTCTGCAAAGTACAGCAAAATCTGATATTTAACCAACTTTTAAAAAAGTTAAAAAAACATTAAGCTCTGTTCTATTTGAGTCAAAAAAAAAGGGGGTTCTGGATACAAGCATATTACTAACACATGATTTACTTCATTCTTTTTAAAAATTTGTATTATCTTAAAATCAATTTTTATATTGTTGATTTTTTTCTTTAAGTAAAATGAGTTTGGGGATGTTTTATTCATTTATGTATCTATCTAACATAAAGCAATTATGGTACACATAACAGAATAGAATTTTCTGGTTTTTCTAAATATAAATATATAAATATAAATATAAATACATATATATTATATATATATAATATATATTATTATATATATATATATTAGATACAATTTTTCTGGTAATAACAACAAAAAATAATAAAGCTAACAACAAGCCTAATATTAATATTTTATTTTTTTTGCCTTAACTTCAGTTTTTCTGGGTTCTTTCTTGTTTAATACAAGGCCTCACAGTAATATGGAAACTTGAGATTTTGTTAGGATTTGTTGAAATTATTTCTTTATTATTTTTTAATTTACTTAAAGTTTTGAAATTTGGTCATACTCTGTCTTCAGGTTATGCTGAGGGCATGGCTTTGGTGTAATGTTATCTCTTCTTTTTTCTATATTGTTTTTGGAGATAATATTGGAAAACATAGTTCTAGGTGGCCACCATCATACTCAGTTACCCCAAAATCTGGTCACTCATTTCAAACATAACTGTTAGAAAAATTAAATTTTGTTGGGCAGCTTGTTACAATTTAATTTTATTACAACATATAAATTTGGTTCAACAATTTACGTAAGAAATATAAAAATTTTAAATGTCTTGTTACTCAACTTGAGTTAAACTTTATTTCCAGTTTATATTCCAAATAGGGTATAATGACACACACACACACACACACACACACACACACATATTCACAAATAATAAGCCAGAAATCAGAGAAATAATTAATTTAACCTGAATCCTTTATTCCATATATGTGTATTGTGGGTTGGGATTTTTTTACTCATGGTCAAGGATGTAAAGAGATGTTAAATGTGTGTGAGAGTTGGAGGTAAATCAGTTATCTATGTATCATGTGCTTCTGTTAGAAACAGAGTTCCTCATTGCATGACCCCATTAATCTAGAAATTGGAGCAGTGAGATCTTGTGTGACACTCCCCTGTTGGCTCAGTAAACACAGTAAAGATTGTCAGCCCATATGTGATACTCTTTCTCATGAACCTATAGTTTCTACAGATAGTGCTAAGAAGTGCGGGTGGCTTAAAATTCTGAGATTTTATAGACCCACACCAGGCACATCATTGGTCAGGAACATTGTTGTCAGAGATGGCTCTGAGTAAATTAATGCACAAAAGAAATAGATACAAGGATATACCTCCTGGTTTTGCATATCTGACATCCAAATACCCAGGTTTTAAGCAGCATGTTCAGATAAATCTGAATGCAAGACTAAGTGTTAATTTTAAAGACGCTGAAGCAGTCAGAGCTCTAACTTGTACTCTCCTAAAGGAAGATTTTGGACTTTCTATTGATATCCCATTGGAGAGATTACTTCCCACAGATTTATTGAGACTCAACTATATTCATTGGGTGGAAGACCTAATTGATCATCAAGACTCTGACAAAAGTACTCTCCAAAGAGGAATTGACGTAGGTATAGGGGCATCCTGCATCTATCCCTTACCTTACTTGGAGCAACCTTAAATGGCTGGCATTTCCTTGCTACAGAAGTATTTGATATGTATTTCAACTATGCAAAGAAAAATGTGGAACAGAGTAACTTATCTGATCTCATAAAAGTGGTAAAAGTGCCACAAGACACTCCTGATGGATGGTCTTAAAGAAAAATCTGAGATAATCTATAACTTTTGTATGTGCAGCACCCTCCCCACTCCTTTTTGCCAAACAATTAGAAGCCTAGGGAGTAAACTCTCGAAACCCTCAAAGACCTCCACCTAGTTCTGAAAATACAGGAGGTATCACAGAGATTATGGCAGAAGGAGTTGAATTAGCATTTGTTAAATGATCATCTATGACAGTTTACAGCTTTAAAAAAGGCAAAGGTGGTAGAGCTGTATGCTGGGAAAGAAATGTAGCCTGGCTCCACTGAAGGAAGAACTTCACATCCAAGGGGTTCCCAAAGTTACATTCACTGAGTTTTGTCAAGGTTTTGTCAATGAGATGGGCCTTAGCTTGGAGTTTTTATGATGATATCACAGTACCATTCCCATCACGTAAGCAAAGAAAATTAGAGAAGCCAGGAAAACCCATTACATTGTGGTGTTGGAGTCTGTGATGAAAGAATTATCCCTCAAAGAATCATCTTTGGGGTCTGAGACAGTGGAGGGCATAGTGGTTTTAACAATATAGAAAAAATTCTCACTGATTTAAAGGTCTAGCATAAATGAGTTCCCTGTGGAAAAGAGGGAGCTAGTCTTTCCCCGACAACCACGGAAAATTCCTGAATTCATTTAAGGCGAAAGAAAAGAAAGCGAGTAAGACAACTGAGGGAAGTGCCTCGAGCTCCTGAGGATGTCATACAGGCCTTGGAGGAGAGAAAAGCCATCCCCAGAGAATTGGGCAGTAGCCAGAATTTGGCCCCATGCCCCCAGGAAGGTACCCTGAGGGGTCTGCTCTGCAGAGGGTGAGTCTGCCATTGTTGGGGGCCACTGCCCAAGCGGAAATCCCAGAACCCATGGAGGATGAAAGGAGTGAGGAAAGGGGAGGAGAGAGGTTATAGAGAGTTGTAAAGTCTTTTGCAATGAAGCCCAGGATCCAGAGGCTTCTGAGAAGTTTAGCAACCCAGGGGCTGAAAGGTAGGGGGAAGCCCCTCCAAGGAGTAGCTTGATATTACCTATTTAAGTGTTTGATAAACATTAAGAAGGAAATGGATGATGCCTTAGTTGAAATGCAGTGGATTGGGGGACAGAACAGAGATTTGATGAACCAGCTTTGTACCTGTATACATAACCAGATTTTTAGGCTTTTTGCTAATTAACTCCAAACTTCTTGCAGTTCGAAGAGTGTCTACAGAGACTGGGGGTAGTGGCTCAGCTTACCATGTGGAAGAACCCGAGTTCTATCCCCAGTCCTCCTCTGACCCCCCTAAAAAAAAAAGAGAGAGAGAAAAAAAAAAAAAAAACTATTAAGCAGATTGTTTGGAGTAGCCTGTATGGTGGCAAGAGGAATTTCACCACTGGCCCATTAGTAGTAGTATTGTGTGAAATTATCTTAAAAAGCAGAAATCAATTAATTCATTTTAAAGTTATAGGGAATTATAGTACAGTGGTTCAGGAAGAAGAATTATGGTTATCAGCAAGAACAAAAACCTGTTTGTAAACTCAGGAGGGACATAAAGCTGACTCGAGCTGGTCATCTCAGCTTTGGACTGAATTTATGAGGTCAAAGATCTTTTGGGGTGTCTGGTCTGGGTCAGCACTTCCCAGAACATCATGGTCTCAAGTCCCCCAGTGTCTTCATAAGAGGAGACACTCTTGTCCTCCAAAGGAGAACAGAACAGAAAGGCCCCAGTGCCCACTTCGAGAGTCACCTTTAAGACTAAGCCTCAGACCCTGCGTACATGATTGGTTAATGTGCTTCAGTGCCCAGACATGAGCTGACCTGATGGTAGGTGGTGGAAGAGTTTGGAGGAGAAACCTTAGTAAGATCAGGAAGAAGGGCCCCTCTGCAGTATGCCTGGGAAATGGAACATTGCTGACTCCTGGCTATTTTGATGTTGCTTATTTCAGAAGCAGAATTAAGTGAACAAAACTCCTACATGTGACTGAGACAACAAAATACACTCATAACCTGACTTCCAACCTGTTAGAAGTAACATTTTGTAGCCATTTTGCTGCTGTTTGATTTTTGTTAAACATATGAAGCTGAATGTGTTTTATTTTTAATATAAGGCAGAATTAAACTGTCAATACTGTTTGAATCCTGGGATTGGGGAAAATACTTTCACGGGTAAATGATGATCAAAATGTGAAAGAGAAAAAGGCACTACGTGCAGTCATAGCTTCAGAAAACCTCACCTATTGGCAGGTAATTTGTTGCTGATCAAGTGCTGCTTCTTGTGTCTTCCCTTATAATCCCTTCTGTGCATTGGAGCATTCTGATGATAGCACTGGAGCATTCTGGGGAAAAGCTAACTGTGTCATCAGAACAGGTTTCCAATTGAAATGCCAGGGTTCAGCAGGTACCTCTGGAAAGGATTCTTGGTTTTTGTTCTCTTCGTGTCTCAGTAAACCATCTCGGTGCTTGACTCTCAACAATTCGATTTTGCATCACTACCCTAGTATTCTGTTTAGAATAAAATCTTTGAGTTAATACCAGAGCTCCTTGCCCATTCCAATGAAGATGGCTTAGTTAAGCCTCCCTGTTGAGAGGTGGCTATTAGGGCAGAAAGCCAGTGACTGTGGCATATTTTGGTGGCGGCTAGATTAGACCCTCTGTAAAGGCATAAAGGAAAGAAAATATTTTGTCTCACTTTGGCAGTAGAACTGGGGAAAGAAGTTGTTTTAAACCCAGGGCTCTTTGCATACTAGACAAATGTTAATACCACTGAATTCTATCCTGTGTCCTTTATTTTTTTTGGTACAGGGTCTTGCCTCATTGCCCAGGCTGGCCTCAGACTTGTGATCCTCTTGCTTCAGCCTCTTGAGTAGCTGGGACTACAGGTGTGCACCACTGTGCCCAGCTGAGAAAAGAGCATTTTAACCAATAACCAGTATTTGGAACCTAGTCTATGAACCTCCAGAGAATCCATAGGCCTCCTGGAAGTTCTGTTATGGCAAGACTTCAGTGAGATAAGAACTTGAGCATATGGGGGAGTGGGCTTTTCAACTTCCTTTTCTCTCCTTATTCTGCTGGAGTTTTCAATTTCCGGTCAGAAAATCTACCAGTGGACTCAAATGAAAAGGCTGAGACCTCAAATGTATAACTGATAAGCTTGTGTATGAGTTGCTGACGCATAGGATAGGCCTCTTTTAAAGACTCCTCCTTGTATATTGCTGATTTGTCCACTAAAAAAGTCTGTGCTAGTTTACATTTCCATGAGTGCCTGCTGTTATCACACTTGATAGCACTAAGAGGCGGGGAGGAACTCACTCCTCATCTTCACCAGTTTCTGTAAGACTTTCAAGACTCTGCACTCCACACTGACAGCACTTCTTCAGGCTGGACTAGCCCAGACAGTCCAAGAAGAGGACCAGGCTACTACTACTCAACTTGCCATCTTGATGACCTTCAATAAGATACCTTCTCTTGGGAGGTCCTAAGCATCTATTAGCCATAAAACAAAACATTAGGACCAACTCTTTGGAGATAGCTGACCTTGGGATCATTCCCCAAACCTGCTAAGCTTTTTATTGAGACATCAAAAAGACTTCCCTTGTTGGGTATGGTGGAGCATGCTTATAATCCCAGCGGCTCAGGAGGCTAAGAAAGGAGGATCACAAGTTCAAGACCTATCTCAGAGGCTTTGCCAGACCCTGTCTCAAAATAAAAATGGAAAGAACTGGAGATATAGATATATCCAGGTAAAACACCCCTGGATTTAATCAATGTTGGCTAAATAAATAAATAATGAAAGCACAATATACTTTAATTTTTAATACACTATGTTGATTTTTTTTTCTCACAGCTACCTTGGAAATTGCTGAAGACTATCCATTATTTCAATCAATTTATAGAGTGATTGCCACAGATGAGGACTCTGCAAATGGTGATCAGCTGATGGTACGTGGATTCCATTGTGTGAGATGCATATATTGCTTCAGCAGACAGAGCAATGCACTGGAGATGTTTCTTGGGAGTAGTTGATACAATTTGATAATTAAAGAGCATATAATGAAGTTAGAAATCACTAAAATGCAATTTTAGTGTTAATTTTTAGTGTTAATATTTGTGTTAATGTTGGAAATGGTATTTTTAGTTTCTTGAAATTTATATGAAAATGATAAAGTAACTTATCCTGGAGGTATGGGCTAAGAGGAAAACATCCATGGTGAGGGAAAACTAGGGCTTTGCTTTTTGAAAGCCAATCAGAATGGTTTTACTTTTCTATGTCAATAACACATGTGAAATATAAATTAACATTTATATGTATAGACACATACATACATGTTTCAGTATCCTAATTACTAAGTATTTAACCCAAAGAAACTTGCTTTTCTCATAAATGATTTATGTTTGTAATGTCTCTTAAAGAGTTGGCAAAATAAAAAGAACTTATAACCCATAAAGTTCTTATCTGGAGAGTTTAGTTGTGCACTGAACTGCAAAAGTCAGCACGCTGGCTCTGCAGCTGTTCTTTTTGAACACGTATTGAAGTAGTTTACTATTTCTAATTTAGTAACTCACAGTATGAAGTAATGAAAGCACAATATACAAATGGCAGTGGGACTGTCAGCTGGGACTGTCAGTGGGACTGTCAGCTGGCTGACTGGGCTGTTATGGATTTACCACTATTAGTGATAAGATCCAGGGGAAGTCACTTAATCTCTCCTGCCCTTGGATTCCACAATTGTAAGAGATTTTTTTCTCTCTTTCCCTAACCTTCAGTAATGTATTTGCTGTCAGTCAAAGTATTCAAAATCCCTGTGGAATGCTCCAAAAATTATTTTGTTGTAGACTAGCTGATATAAAATTGTTAAGAAACATGAGATCCTTTCCATTAGATGATATATTTTCAAAAGATTAAAAAAATAACTTATAGTTCAGTTGAAAATAGTTATTTCTAGCTCTGCCATTTGCAGGAACATGAGAAGTACCAGAAGGTGATTGTTTTAAAATTTAGTGTTTTGAAAAATAATTATATTGTTAAGGATAGAATGCAAATTAAATTGAAAAGAAATACACAGAAGTAATTGAGCTTCTTTTTTATTGAATTTTTATCTCATTTGTAGCTAAAATTTACTATGTTAAATTAAGGAAAGATTTATCTGCCTCTCCCTCACCTCAAAGGTGGTGTCAAATAAATTGAAAGTAAAATGAAGAACATAAAATATATCACAAATTGCATATTCAAGTGTATGAATACTTGAAATTCATTTATACTCATAATTCTTGTTTCGTTTTGTAAAATTTAAAGTGATGAGTTTAATTATGTGTTATTCAATCAAAGGTGCATTAATTTGAAAAATCAGAATTATGTGTATTTTTAAAATTTTCTTAGAAAAATGTAGAGTGTTGGGCAGCTCCATTAAAAAGTAGCAGATGTTTCCGTTGTGCTTATAGGCTAAACAACTGAATTATTTTTTCAGTACTGTGGATTACAACTTATCAGTGATTCTGATACTAACTAGATCATGAAGAAAAATTGAAATTAATTATATTTGCTATATTATTGTATGCTAATAATCTTCTATTTCCTTGGTATATTTTATTTTTCTAGTACACCATTGAGACACAGTTATCTGGACCAAAGGAAGGAGCAAATTCTTTTGGAATGGATCCTGTAAGTGGTGTTGTTAGCTTGAAAGGTGGAGACCCCCTGGACTTTGAAGCTGGATATCATGTAATTAATATATTTATTTATTTTTCTATAGAGAGTGAAAGGGATTTTTAAAAATAATTTTGAATCCTTCATGAAAAACTAAGTACATTTTTATTTTAAAGAAGGGTAGTGTTTTCTGAGATTCACTTGAATTTTTACAGCTAACTAAAAGTCTAGATCTGAACCTTATTGTTAGCAAAACATACTGATTGTGTCTTGACCTTTTAGATTAAAATTTAAATCCTTTTGCATATCAAAGGAAATGGAGGAAACTTAAAATGGTCAAGTTTTCATATTGAAACTGACTATTCATACCCTGCCTCACTTAGAATATTAGCCAAGGTAGGACCAAGTATAAGCCTTATGATGAACTTGAGACTAACACGGTGGGAAAGAATATTTCTGGTAGTTCTATGAGAAACATAATGTAAAGAAAGCATTTTGAGGATGATTTTTTTTTGAGTGAAAAAGGATATGTAAGTAGGAACAGCTGATTGGAAAGAAACCAGCTAAATGGCTATTGAGATAGTCTCTCCACATTAAAATTAGGTGTGAAAATTGAGAAATAGAGGATGTTATTATCATCATCACCATTGTTATTATTATTGTAAAAACATTTCTGTTCTCAGAAATGCCTCCATATGTAATGATTCAATAAGGTGACAGAAGAAAAAGGGACAAAAGGCAAGATGCAAAACATTACAGTAAACATAGAGAATGTATTGCTGATTAGTTTTTTGGGAGAAGGAAGCGATAATATTTAAAGATGATCTCAACATTTTTGTCTGAAAGACATAAATGGAAGAAAGCAGATAAATTGTATTTAAAGATAATTTGGTTTTGTTAAATGTTGGAGTATAACGGAGAGGCCAATGTGACATAGCTTTTAAATAATTTGAGTACTAGGAATACAATATGAGATTAGAACGAGGTGGAAAAGAAATGGAGGTTATGCCTAAGAGCTATGTATTTATGTATTTTTTAGATGTATACTTCTAACCCTCCCCTACCTCAGTTCCACTGCTGCCTTTACTTCAGTCAATTTTCTGTTTAGTCCTTCTTCAACTTTCCACTATGTACCCTAATGAGACCTGAATTACCCATCCAAGAAAATGAAGTTTGGTACAATCACTGTAGGGTTTACCCAACAGAGTCTCGGACATTGTGGGCGGTTATTTAATGTTTGCTCAGGAAGAGCTCATAGTGGAACTCTTAATGCCTCAGTGGTGTATTGTTTTTGTTTTCAAAGGGACAGCTTATGATCAGAATAAATTGCTAGGGACTGAGATGTATGATAGGCTGACATGAAATGTATTTGAGATCTGTTAAGCTTCTCAACTCTTCAGAAGTTATAGCAAGTCCTGGAACCCAGAGTAGCTCCTTGTCCTGTGTAGGGTTTACCATCAAATGCATTAGATTTGGGGTTTATTATTGAATCTAAAACTTGTTCATAGTTTTGGTTTAGTTGCTCCTATATTTAGACATATAGTCAAACTATACAGTCCTCTGAGTAAATTTAATGCCATATAAATTGCAGCTATTTTGAAATTTACTACTAACCTAACTAAGTAAGAGAGCCCTTATATTTATTTTAACTACCTGGAAGAAAAATAAAAAGCTATATCTAATTGGAGAGAAAAAGGACAACCTAACAGGAGACACACTGTAAAAATACATGTGTATTTCCAATTACCAAATAGTATATTACAAAGTTTCTAAAAACTCTTTTCCAGGTTTTCCAGCTTGCCCTGAGAGCAACAGATAAAACAGGTCTGTTCTGCCAAGGGACACTAATTATCAAGATTATAGACATAAATGACGAGAAGCCTCAATTTGAGTAAGCATATTTATTATTACTTTTACTAAATAACTAGAATTTAATGCTAGATAAAAGCAATACCAATATTACCAAATTGTCATCCCTGAACACATTTTTCATCTCTTTAGAGATATAATACATTAAATAACAGTTAAGGAAATAGAAAAGGAAATTATTGAAAGTGGTTCAGAATGTCAATATGAGGAGTCACATTATGCTGAGGTATAAAGGAAGAACCACATTGGATTTGGTGATGAAGTACGTAGTGTGACAATAGGAGCAAATGTGACTCCATTTTGTTTTATGACTTCATCCTGTAAAACAACCATGCCAAGTAGAAGAGTCATGACTGGAGCAAGATGTTCTTTTCCTTTTGCTATAGAAACCTTTAAGAACACGGAACTACCTAATGGGGCATTGTTTCTGTAACTAGGGTAACCAGGCTCTGTTTCTGTAACTGGGGTGACTGGGCTAACTGTAATTGGTTAGGCTTCCCTCCACTTGACTGCACTGTCCTGCTTCTGTAACCTGGCTTGCTTGCATTGGCTAGACCCCCCGAATATCCCTTTTGTGGTTTTCAGGCTTATAAGGAGTGCCCTTGCAATTGTTCGGGGCTGATCAGGGGAACAGCTTTATGTTCTGGTCAGCCGCCACCAGTGTGCTTCAATAAAGGCTTGATTCGATTATACATGAGTGGTCTGGAAGTCAGTTCATGAAACCCTGGGACAAAGCTTTAACTATAACAGTAGCATCACTCACTCACTTCCCTTTACTTAGACACTACATTCCTTTAAAGACTTCCTTGAAAAATCTCTCCAATCCCCAGAATCAGTCTTCCCTTTTCTGTAAACTTTCAGCAAACTTAGCATCTCAACAATTACATAGCATAGTAGGTATTTATAACTGTATTGCCTATTAGCAGTGAGATTTTTGAATGTTAGGAGACAAGGCTTAGTCATCTGTGCATAAACTAGCATAACATATGGTAGATTATCAATAAGTATTTGATGCCTTGAATGAAGGCAGAATGAGAAAAAGATGTAAGTTTCAAAAATGTCCTAGAATGATCAGGGACTTTAAGTATGACTCAAAAAGGTGTGCAATAAAGTTCCCAAAATCAGGGCTGGAGTTGTGGTTCAGTGGTAGTGTGCTTGCCTAGCATGCATGAGGCACTGGGTTCAATTTTCAGCGCCACATAAATTAAAGACAATAAAATCTATCAACAACTATTTTTAAAAAAAGAAAAAATTAGAAGTATTTAAAAAAAATAAAGTTCCCAAAATCATCTCCATGGTTGCTCTAATAAGTTGCAACTTTGGCTACCATTTCATCATACCAGATAATAAGATGAAAATGGCCATATTTATTACCTTATGTTCAATTGGCAGCTATTCCATACGTTGGATATCTGGAATAACAGAATTATATAATTCCATTTTGCTTTTCATTTTTCATCTATTTTATGTCATGGTATCTTTGATGCCTGGAAAGGGACCAGAGACTATATTATTGAAAATTAATGCTTTTGCAGAAACTAAGTAACTTTGTGCCACAAATGAATTTTCTCGACATTTGGATAGCTCCGTGACACTTCAATTCTTGACAAGAGGAAGTAGTATTATCACAAATCTAAAACTTTCTTCAAAGTTTGTCACAACTTGCATTTATGTGTGTAAGAATTTGTAAATTTGTAAATCTCCAACTGTTTTTTTCAACTCTGTCTTTAACTTTCTTTAAGGCCATTTCCTCTGGATTCTATTAATGTGACTGAAAAGAAACCTGTAGGAGAAATTATAGCAAGAGTAAAAGCAACAGATCGAGATGAAGATAACAGCATCACTTATTCCTTTAAAACTCAGCAGGAAATGTTTGGTTTGGACCCTCGTGAGTTTTAGATACATTTCTTGGAGCCTACTTTGGTTAAACATTCATTATATATCTCTATACATTTATAGAACTTAGCCTGGTTCAACTACCCTTTCAAAATTAAATGTGGAGAAGCACACATACCAAAAACATGGCATTTATAATTGCTATTTTCCTATTGGTTAAAATGGCATTCTTATGAAATAATGGGTGATATAAACTAATTTTTTTATAAGTGGCCATCATTTTTTTTTTAAAGAGAGAGAGAGGAGAGATAATTTTTCAATATCCATTTTTCAGTTTTTGGTGGACACAACATCTTTTTTTTATTTGTATATGGTGCTGAGGATCGAACCCAGCGCCCTGCACATGCCAGGCGAGCGCGCTACCGCTTGAGCCACATCCCCAGCCCAGTGGCCATCATTTTTTAGAGATAATTAGTACAAAGGCATCTGTGAAATCCTTGCAAACTATATGACACATAAGTCATAATTATTATCTCAATTTTATTTGTAGAGATTGGGACTTTTCATGGATAATTTGATTAGCATATTTGGTTATGGATAGATTTCTATGTGGAGAAGATTCCGTTTCTGAAATTTTCTTATAGGCTGTTGAGATAACTGATTTTATTAGTAAAACATTCACTATATATCTCTATATAGTGGGTTCAAGCAGACAATCAGAAGTACCAGGGGTACACTGAGGGAGCTTCTTTAATACTCTCTGAAAGGCTGTTCTAACATAATGCTAGAACTTGAAGTTCACAAGGCAAGAAATCAGGAAGAGAAGACAAGTATAAAGTGTGGTAAGTTAAGGGTAGACTAGAACATAGAAGCATCTGATAGACCCTACAAGTAGGGACTGAGACCCACATTGGTTTTTATTGTCTCTGACCTGGGTGTTGTTGGTAGCTCATGAAAGCTGGGGCATTTCATCACAGGGCTGAGCACACATACCTGTTCAGCAAGTCAGAGAAACTGGAAGAACTACAGCAGGTCAGGTAGTTGCAGACTCAGCTAGCTGGTTTACACCAACAGTGATGAAGGGGACCAGCCAAAACACATGTAAGGAACGAAAGGGCTGATGCTATCCTCATCCTTCACATTGGCCAAGAAGCTCCCTTATGACCCACATGAGTCAAAACACACACAATAATTAGAATTGTGGAAAATAAAATTTGGCTTAGAAGAGTTGACATATTTTAGAATCATCATACTGATCAACCAACATTTGAGATCATTCATTTAAGTTCTTAGAGTTATTACCAATTTATGCATCTGTCTTTAAAATGCAAATGTCAGGCTGGGGTTGTGGCTCAGGGGTAGAGTGCTCTCCTAGCACACGTGAGGCACTGGGTTCAATTCTCAGCACCACATAAAATAAATAGATAAAATAAAGGTATTGTGTCTACCTACAACTAAAAAAATATTTTTTTAAAAGATGCAAATGTCATTGGGAGAAGAAACTAGCTAAGGACAATTTTGGCAAGACTAAAGCCTTTGAGAGTTAGGAAGACACTCAGGATTAAGCCAGATGATTCCAGAGCAAAAAGAAGGAATTCTGGGAAGGAAGGTAAGTAGGTGGTGGCAGCAGGGATAGTCTCTTATGCTTTGCAAACTTTCTTTAGTTTGATCTTTAAACTCATTTTTCATTTTTTATGCAATGAGATTAATTTGAAAGGCAAAAGCAATGAATGATTAGGATTTCGAAATGTTTTTACTAATTTTTAAGGTTCAATAGCATTAGCAACAATTTATTATTGTAATTAAAATGAAATACAATGGTCTGTGTTTGCTTTTTTTTACAAGTAGTTGTAAACAAATAAATGACAATTTACAAACTTGGAGGAAAATTTGATGAAACAATTTTTAAATATGATTATTTTAAAATATAAGCATACAGTAAGCAGAAGCAAACTATAAAATAAAGAAATATTTCCAATGAATGTATAATTGCTAACAATTGTTTTTCTCATTCACAGAAAAATATATCATTAAATAAATTTAAAAATTGTCAATATAAATAAACTAACATAAGCTTACTGATTTGGTAATTCTTTACTTTATTTCTTTCATTAGTTAAAGGTATAATCACTCTTCTCCAGCCTTTGAATCTTGACAACCCAAATAACTCCAAAACCTACCCTTTGGAAATTGAGGCCAGAGATAACGGAAATAATACCAACACTTACATGTTTACAGTTTTTGTGGAGAACATAGATGATCCTATTTCCTGTGACTCAAGTTTTTCAACAGGAGCAGGTATATTACAGGTTAATTTTATTTTAAAAAATATATGAAATGATACAGCAGTAAAATTTAAAAGTAAAACCTAGAATTGTAGTTCAAATTTACTTAGTTTTATTAAAAATAATTTAAATCCTGAATACAAGATATAACATGCTTCGGAAAAGAAAACACTATATTCAAATTGTTGTTTTTTTTTCTTTGTGTGGTAGATAGAGGATAGGAGAAATGACAAAATTATTCTAAGCTTATCTGTCACATACAAATTAATGTGTAGCTTTAAAAGATGCCAAATACCAGAAAATATAAATAACAAAATATATTTTTCACCTACTATATTGTTTAAGACATAAATATAACAGGAAAAAAAGGTAATGTTATATAGACATTGAAAAATTAGCAATTTTAAGTTCGGATTTTTTAATAACCACACAGAATATTATGGTAGTAAATATTTGTTTTAAAAACTGATTACAATCTTTCTCCCAGAATTTGTTTCTTAGAGTTTATCTTTGCCAAAATATTAAAACATGGTCAAGATTTATTGCAAAATTTGTAATAAGAATAACTTTGAAATAACCAAAATGTCTAACTATAGGAAATTGACCAAAAGTTGATATATATTTTAATGAATTACTACCTAGTCTTTAAAAATTGCCTTTTAAAAAATAATAGGCATGAGATGACAATGATATACACTTTAGTTTGCTTAATTTTGTGTACAATGATGTCATTGTACATTGTCCCCCCAATAATTATAAACATATGCTATTTTATTTAATCATTTCTTTTTGTATGAGTACAGTAAATTAGTCTGAACATGCCTGATTTTTTGTTGTTGTTGTTGTTATTGTTTCTGTCTGTTTTGGGTGCTGGGGATTGAACCCAGAGGCACTTTACATTTAGCTATATCCCAAGCTCTTTTCACTTTTTATTTTGAGATAGATTCTTACTAAGTTGCCAAGATTGGCCTCCAACTTGCAATCATCCTGCTTCAGCCTACAAAGTCACACAGTGCCTGGCTCTACTGTTAATTTTTAATGTCTCTTATATTAAAAAACTCTAGCTTTAATTATAAAATTTCAGTGTATTAAGAATATAATAGTGTCATTACATCTGATAGCCTTACTCCTCCAAAGAGAATTACTGGAATCTGTATACCTTTATATATAAAATAATGAAATATGTTCTTATACTTTGTGCTACATAATTCAGAGCCTCATAATACTGTTCATTAACCTCACCCTTATGTGTGTTGGTTTTTTTTTTCATGAAGGCTTTCTAAAAATAAACTCTTTTAAACATTTGACTGTATTTAGACAATGCACATAACTGGAGCTCTGAAACAGATTGGCTTGATTTAATTTTAGTTGGGTCAGCTGGATCTCAATAATTATATCTGTTCTGCTTGTTCTCCTTTTCTCTTCTGTTTTTTCCTAAACTTAGCCACTTCGTTATTTGTCATATTAAACTTAGCCACTTTGTTATTTGTCTCCTTTTACCTTTTCTGTTTGAGTGCTTGTCTTCCTCTCCCTATTTCTATTAGGAGAAACTGAAAGTTGAAGTCAAGAGGAACAAGGCAAATTTCATTAAAACACTCCTCCCTCTCCCCCGGACCAGTGCCTGTCTATTGCAGCTGTGTAGCGACTTCTCACAGTGTTCCCTCTTCTCTGTCCACAGAAGCATCACCTTTTGAAAATTCAAAATTTCTAAAACACACACACACACACACACACACACACACACACTTCTTGCTTCGAGCAAAAACATACCTTCTGCTATGGATACTAATAAATATCTCTGAAATAGGAATTTATGTCAAAGGGATTGTTCTCAGGCTGAAAGAGAAGTCCCCTAGGTGAGCTCTGGCAATGAGCCAGCTTTCCATTTGATGTTTGTGAAGATAGTATCTTTTGGATCACTTTGAAACAATAGGATGTTCTCCGTAATTTCCATTCAGTCTCCCCAAATTATAGTAAGATTTAAAAAGATACACATGGATCCCATGAAGGTCATTTTGACCTGGTTTCTACCAGACTTGGCTGAACCAACACAAACTGCTCAAGCACTATCAAGATCATGATGCCCTCTTTTCCATTACGTGGGCTGTGTCCTTGGGATGGATGGATAGTAGGGGAAAATTACTTTCTATGAAACACAGGGTAACTACGTGCCTCTCTGAAAAGGTGTTGATCTGATTTTTAAGTTGCTGGTTTGATACACATGTTCACCTCACTGTGGTTTGTTATCTCTCTATAATTAACACAGAGCAAACCATTAAGTTAGAGGATCTGTTTATATATGTTCAATTTGAAACAAAAGTTCAAAAAAAAGCTAGTTCCATTTACACAAAAATTATTCCTTAACATCCTTAGAAATAGTCAAATAATATGAGGCTTTTGTAGAACCACCTAATTTATATCCAAGACTGAGACTTTTTGAGAATCCTAGATGAAGAAACTACCCAACGATTTAAATGTGCATGCATCTGTGTTATTTGATTTTGGGGTGAGAGAATCACAATGGTAACATTGGATGTAAAATAAGAAATGTTTGGGGAAATGAGAGTAGCAGTTGTGAAATATTTATGTAAGGTATTTTATTTAGTCCTCAAAACTACTCTGAAGTTGGAAATGTACTTTATCTGCATTGTCCAGATGAGAATACTGATGAAGCAGGAATTCAAGCTCATTTCTTCTGACTTTGCTACCTGGCTCCACATTGTGAACATTATTGTGGAACAGAACAAAAACTTCAATCTTCTAACATATAAGAATCCCAGATGAAATATCTTAGAGACTATCGAGGTTGTACAAGCACTGAGCAATTATATCCCATTCCACACACAAGTCCTAAATTTAAATTTAGAAATATGAATTGGAACTATGTTGATTTAAAAAATACAGATGTTTATGTGAATAAATATTTTTAGTTTTCCGAAAATGTATTAAGAAAACTGCTTGAAAGCCAGACATGGGAGCATAAACCTATAGTGTCAGCACTCAGGAGGTTGAGACAGGAGCATCAGTTGAGCCCAGGGGTTCAAGCTCAGCCTGAGCAACATAAAAAGACTCTGTGAGCCACAAAAAACAAACAAACAAAAACCTGAAGTTGAAATTTTTACAGCATGAAGACATATCACACCCATATGAGGCAAAGAATGTTTGAATTTAAAATTTTGTTCATGATTTTGGTAATTTTATAGGTGTTTCAGTGTCTGTTCCTGAAAATATTCCTGCATCTGCTTTTATATATATGATTCTTTCAAGGGACCCAGATATAGGACAAGAAGTTGAAGTAAGTTTTTAACTGTCAGTTATTATTTTAAAAAAAATTGATTTAAAAGTGTCTAATTTTTAATCAGCAAAAAGTTATTTCATCAACTTTTTAACTAAAGTAGTTACCTAATGACAGATTTACACACTAATGAAATGTCCTTTCATTATTTTTTTTTATTCATTTCAATCATGTCATTTCATTGTTATTTTCTTTTATTCACTCCAGTCAGGCATATTTTCTTCTTATACATGTAATTTGAATAATGGACATTTTAGATCTCCCCCTTATTTCTGGTTTCAGCAATAATTCCTAAAGAATAGAAAATTCATAAGTAATAGATGACAACATGGTTACAGCTTAAGAGGAGGTAAAGAAAAAACTTAAGATAATTTATTCATAACTGCATTTTCTCAGAAATTTCTAATGGTGCAATATGAGCTAAATGTAATTATATTTTTTAAGAAAACAACTGGATTCTTGATTATACATTATAAATCATATTAATATATTAGAACATTCTGCCTTAAATTTAGCAACTCTAATTCTCCATAGAAGAGACTTACATTGTTTCCCATTTGTTCATAATTGTTGCAAAAATACTGGCTTATAAACATGACTTGAGAATTCAGTTGAAACTAAAGTTTAGAGGAGCAGATCTCTGGAGAATTAAGCCTATATATAATTTTTATGGTGACCCGATTTCAATGAGGCATTGATTAGCATACTCGATTACATGTTTTGTTCATATGAATTTAGACGGAGTATAGACGACAACACAGGAAAAAAATGAAATTCCTTTTTTACAGGTTCAGATCCTCCATTGTGTGAGTGTGTGTCTCAGGAGGGAAAAAGACAGAAGATGGGGGTCTTATGCGTTTGAAATATGTGGGTTTATGTGGGGGTTTTGGCTATGTGTAGAATTGGTGTTTCCATAAATATAAATTGTAATTATGTGTTTACATGTATATTCCATAAGTAAAATTTATAACATTTGGATTTTATTGCAAAAGTCATTAGGAAAGAGAAACAAAGACTTGGAAGATGATAATTTTTTAATAATTCAAAACCATAATAGTAAGGGGAGAAACAAAAAAAAATTCCACAAGAATATTTAGTGGAGTTTATTCTAAAATAAGCCAACTTTAGTTGTTCACTTACAGACAATAAAATGTAAGCCGTTATGCCCGTCAAAATGGCCATTGTGACTTTTTAGAAATGGCATTGGATATCACATCTCCAAGTTTTATTCTTTTTCTTTAAGCCAGAATCTGGATGTAAATTTTTTGTAATTTCATTTCTCTATGAAATTCTTTTCAAAATCTTTAATATTCATCTTGAACCTGGGCCCAGTTATAGGCATGGGTGACATCAATGTACAGGAACATGCCTATGCCCATAAAATCTTTGTCTCCAAAGCAATATTTTATTTTTTTTCCATATAGAAAATCAATACAGAGATGACATCAAATGGTTTCCTCCAAGTATTTTAGTGCATGTACCTCCTTTAGATACACTTCCTGAGTATACAAGAGGGAGTGACATTTTTTTTTAAATTGGAAAAAGCTGCATATGTGAAACTACAAAGTAATTATGAAAACAGTGACAAATATTTACAAAAATGCTCTAGTACTTAAGCACATGAACCAATGGAAAAAGTACAGTTAAAATGCGAAAAGAATGTTCAAATTGTTTTTGAAGTCTGGAACTAAGAGTAGGTTCAGATTTAATTTATGGGCACTGTTTTTACAAACCTAATTTTTATATAGGTCTGGCCAAATATCTGCATCAAAACTGTCAGCTCAAAATTCACGCTTTTTCAATAATGTATTTACCATGTTTGTGTTTTTTCTTTAAGTTTCTAATATTAAATTCTTCAACTAACGCCACTGCCTACTTTGCTTTGGATTCACGTAATGGTGTCATTTCTAAAACCATTGAACCTCTTTTGGACTATGAAACAAATCCTAAGGTGAGACTAAATATAAAATAGAGAATTAAAATAACAAATGCCTTTAAATACTTTTTCAATGAAAAATAATTATTGAAACTTATCTAAATTGAAATAAAAATATACCAAATTTTATGTAATTGCCTTTTCATATTCACATAGATCATGTAGAAATTCTCATTAAGAAAACTGATGAAAAACTTAATTGATTCATCTTACTTTTTTCTTAGACCTTTTAAAAATATCTCAATTGTTGTATGTGCTTCTATGGGTGTGTGTAAATGTTGGAAGAGGGATCCTCTCTATATTCAAAAGCCTAGAACTGAGACAATGTCCTGTGTAATTTAATGAGATCATACTTCTTAGTTTTGAATTATCTGGAGAACTGCATCTGTCTGACTTTACTTGATTGTAGAGACCTAACCTCTTTTTTTCCTCATTGTCCTGGTCAAATTTCAAATTTAAAAAGATTGAGAAAGAAAAGTATAAGGAGATGGAGAAACATAATAAATCACTTCTCCCTACCAACTTGTTCTGAGAAATGGAATCATTTAAATTTCAAATGTTTTCCAGTTTCTTAAATAATTCTCAATGATGCTTCCACTAAAACTATCAAGTTTTTTTCCCCCCTTTATTCTCTAATCTTACCTAGATACTGACTTCCTAAACTGCAAAAATTTTGGCCAGAACTTTTCTCATCAGGTAGGAATAAAAGAAAAACAAAACAAAACAAAACAAAAAAAACCCCAAAACAAACAAACAAATCCAGCCATTTCTCTAAGACCAAAACATCTGGTTAGCCATTTATAAAATTACTTTTCATTCTGGTATTATGGGCTCTCGTGTCATATAGTCAACTTTGCTGTTTTTCACTCACTCCTAAAGACACAAATTGCCTTTATTATTTTTGTTCTTTTATTGACATTCTGATTTTAATTGCATTGAATTTATAAAGTATAATGGCATCTCATCATCTTTAAACCATCATTGAGAATTATTTAAAATTTGTTTAAATTTTTAATGACTTTATATTTATCCAGATTTTTCATACTATTTGTATAGCATTCTTAGCCACCCTTCATTTTATTGTTAAATATCCATTTTCTAATTGTTCTTTATAGTTGTATAGAAAACTATTGGTTTTTGTTTCCTGATCTCAAAGACAGCAAATCTCAAAATCCTTTTATTGATTCTAATACTATCTTGGTGATTTTTCATTTTTTATGTGTCAACATTCATAAAGGGCTTGTGAAAAATAAAAGTTACTACTTTCTCTATAATCCTTACAATTTTAATTTATTTGTTTTAAGCCTTCCTGTTCTGATAAGAACTTCCAGGGGGGAAAAATGTTCACTAGAAATGGTATAAGAAAGAATCCTTATCTTGTCATGATTTTCAAAAACATTGTTTAAATGGTTCAAATTAGAATGCTATTTGTTGTAGGATATAGTTAATCTTTATTTAATTTTCTTTTATTAAGAGGGTTTTTTTTTTTTAAATCAGTAGTTTGATTTTGACTTATATACCTTTTTTTTCTCCATTTATTCTAATGATTACATTTTCCTTTTTTCTTTCATCTATTAAAGTTTTAAGCTACTTAAACATATTTTCTACTATTACACCATCCTGTGTTTTAGCATATAACCAACCCCATTTGAGATCGTTTTCAATATTGACTGCTAATTCACTTAATTAATATTTTAGTTTCATTTGATACTTGAATTCTGGGTAGCCCTCCTACCCCCATTCCCCACAGCTGTTTGGACAGTGTTGAAGAGCTGTTCTTCCAAAGGGTATTTACCATTTGACTCTGTGAGACATGCCTCTGGCATAACTGGCCTTTGGGAAATCCATATGTTATTTTCATGCCTTGGCAATTCTCAGAGGAGATGGTTAACGTGGTTACTATTCACCTGTAATATCCCACCCGTACCCCCACTTTTTCTTTCCCCTTACAATATCATTTCAGTAGTATTTTTGAAGGATTACAGAAAACTATTTTATTCTGTACTTCAATCTGATTTAAAAGCAAAATTTCACTTGATCAACTTTCACCTTCCTTTGATTTACATGTCAATCTTCCCGATTAGACATGCTTTCCTACACACTTAAGGTTATTTCTAATCTTAATAAGATAATTCTTATCTCTAGTATATTACACTTGCATCAAATAGTCAGTACTTGAGAAATAATTTTTGAATGAAAACATTTAACTTTAGCTACCAATTTCCAATGTTTTGTTAAGATTCAAAACATATAGAGACAACAGATTCATTTGTTCAAAAATACTATTTTTGTTTTCCAAGTACTGTGTTGCAACTCTTACCTTTACTTCTAAGTACCACACATTTAGTTTTCTCCTACTTTTTTCCTAATTGTGTATTTTATATCTATTTTATACATTTTTCTACCTTATTTCTAAACAAATAGTTTAAACGTGCTTTTTTCTGAAGAATAATTTGCTTAAATGTAATATATTGTTGTTCATACAAATTTTAGAATATCCATATCTGTGATCTTCAATTTTCTCACTTATTTAAAATATTCCTGAAGTAGGAAGCTCAAAAAGTTATAATTTTGTGGATTAAATGTATTTTAAAGTACATTTTGCGTATACATATAACTTATTATTAAATTAAATTTAAAAATGAAACAAAAAATTACAATCATTCTTTGACTTCATCAAAATTATGTATTACCTCTTTAGACTACACTTCTTTGTTGTTTATGGCATTGGAATGTTACCTCTTTAAATAAAATTTCTATTCTGAAGTTTCTAAAATATTTGAGGCTTTTCAGTCAGTATTTTCTAAAAGTTAGTTGTTGAGCTTCAGAGATTTTTCCCTAAACAATAAAGTTACTTTTATTTTGATATTTTATTTATTTTTAAAATGTATTTATTTACTCTAATTTGTTATAGTATTTTGATATTTTAACAAATTTAAATTTGACATATTTCCTTATAGTGGTATGCTGAAAAACCATCAAAAATTTAACCTCAGTATCATAACAACTGGGAAGTTTGCATTAATTGCAGAATCTGCATGAGAATACAAGAGATGTTCTTTTCTAGAAATGATTTTAAAGTGTTTTTGGGATGCTACATTTTTATGCTAAGAATTTTTTAGAGTGTTTTTTTTCTGTTTTTTTTTTTAAAGAACTTTTTATGAAGGGGTAGATGCATATTTTAAGTACTCAAGAAAAAAAAATAAAGATGTACTCTCTTCTCTTGTTTATTTTAGCATTTCCAGTTTGTAATTGCTGTTAGGAATAAGGAGAACCTCCCTGTGGAGTCATGTATTGGCACCATCACTATAAACATCCAGAATGTTAATGATGAGAGTCCTGTTCTTACGTAAGCAATGAGTTATCTAAATATTTAAGTACTAAGATTAAATCACTGAAACTTTTTAAATAGCAGTTAAAATATCAATGTTTTACTATTTCTATTACAATTTTCTTAAAATTATTAGAAATCAAAATTTTATGAACTTTTTGTTATTGCTTTTTTAAAATAAGGATTAAAAATCAACTCCATTTCTACTTTGCTTTCAACACTACAAAGAGAAATAATACTTTGGTGGAAAAGATTCTAACATTTGCTATTTTCTTGCTGATTAACTTTAATATGTAAAATATTACAGAAAACTCAGAGATATGTTCATGTTGTGAATCAATGTGGCAGTTCAAGAGAATTTGGGCAATAAGTTCTTGCTGATATTAAAATATTTCCAAACATATGAAATGAAAATGTGATTGCCAGAGTGTTTGTAGAATTTTATCATATGGAAAACAGTATAATTTACTAGTCATTGGAAGGACTGGAGAAAGAGTTTAGGTAAAAAAAAAATTAAAAAAAAAAAAAGAAAAGAAGAAGAAAAAATATTATAAGATCATTTATGATATGTACGCATTCCCTACATACATAATAATCTACAAATTATTTAAGACCAGTGGCTTTAAAATGTTACAAAATATGTATCACAAGAAATTTAAAATATTTGTTGTATGACATAGATGAAAAGGGACATTTGTTTATACTGAATGATAAAAAAAAATCTCTTTTGTCCCACAGATACATACCAGATGCACCTATAAATATTTATGAAAATCTGCCTGTTGGAACAATGCTGGTCAAGTTGACAGCAACTGATAGAGACATAGGGGACTCAGTACACTATGAATTTATAGGTACACAAAAAGAATTTTCTATAAATGAAGGTAAAAAAGTTTTGTGGCTAATCATTTCAGAAAGTATAATATAATGTATTTTTCACTAGCTAAAAATAAGCCTGATTATCATTCTATTAGGATGAAAACATCTTCAAAATATTTAGCAGTGTATTTACATATTTCTATGAAGTAACAAGTAATCATTTCTTCCTTCTCAGAAGTATGGAAACTCTCACAATTCAGATCCATAACAGTATTCCCTAGGATTTTATTGTATAGTTTTCCTCTGAGAAGTAAACTTTCCCATGGAAACCAGAATACTAGTTAACATAAATTGAATATTTATTTTTATATCATACATTCTTCTAGGACTTTGCATGCATAATAACCCCTTTGGGGTTTTACTGTCCTAACCCCCATCTATCATATAACTCCTGGAGAGGAGTTTTAATTTAGCCAAACTCATATGATTAATTTCTTTAGAAGACCTGTAGTGAATTTAATCTGCTTGATTGTGACACTTGTAACTCTGAGTACATCTCACATGACTGGAAGTTAGAAGTTCATGCCTCTAACAATTTAGGTATAAAGTGAGGAGGAGGAAGAAAGAAAAATTTCTCATCTTTTAAAGAGGGTATACACATAATTGGATTAAATATAAATGGTCTACCGTATCAATAGAAAGACCACCATGTAGGGGATCAGAATCTGAGGTTAGGAAGAAGATGACCCATGGAGGGGTGGCTAGGTATGGCAAGTCACAGTTTAAATGGAGGGGAAGAAGGGTCCTTGAACTGGGTATGAGGGAGATGGCAGCAGAGAAAGGACAGTAGTTTACATACAGGGGGATTGATAACTACATTAAGGAAAGGCTGACACTCCTATAGGAGAGATGAATTATCAAGATAGAAAATGAAAACCATGTGGGTGGGGATGAATTAAAATTTGAAGGTATCAGAGTGAATATATGCATTTCAATATACATATTTGTATATATGTGTCTATACATAATATACACAAATACACAAAAAATATTGACATAACTACATGTGTATACACACATACATACATTCTGTACCTGTGTCTACAATAAGATTGAAAGAGTTTAAGAACTCCAATGTCACAATAGCAAAAGTATACTTTGTGTGCAGATACTGACCTCTAAGTCCCATTTCCCTACAAGAGCTCCTTAGAGGAATGGTTCCTTTTGAGACTAGAGCAGTTAAAATATAGTATGAACAAACATGCAAGAACCTACTCATACAATAATAAGGAATGTCAATAAGGTGAAGAAATTAGACAAAATTGGTTATATTTTGGAAATCCTAGGTCCATTGGAATATCAAAATAAATAATCATGCATAGAATCAACCAAGGTGTCCACCAATGGGTGAAAAGATGAGGTACGTGCAGTATATTTTCACAATGGAATACTATTCCATTCTAAAAGAGTTTGCAATCTTGTCATTTGCAACAGCATAGACAGAACTAGATATCATTTTGTTAAGTGAAATAAGCCAGAGAGAAAAAAGATAGATAATACATGTTCTCAGGTCATAGAGACTTGGAAGGACACAGGATGGGAGATGAAAAGGAGATTAAGAGGTACCAAAAGGTAGGTAGTAGGAAGAATTAGTTCTGGCTCTCTACAGCACAGTAGAACAATCACTGGTCATAACAGTGTGATTTATCTCCAAATAATGAGAACATAGGAGTATTAAAGTTCCCCAAACATAAAAATGATTAAGATTTTAGTAGATAAAAATATTTATTACTCTGATTTGGTTGTTATACATTGTATATATATATCAAATTACCATAATGTACTCATAAAGATCTATGAATATTATATATCAATAAAAATAAATAGGGCTGGGGTTGTAGCTCAGTGGAAGAGTGCTTGCCTAGCATGTGTGATGCACTGGGTTTGATTCTCAGTACCACATACAAATATATAAAATAAAGGCCCATCAACAACTAAAAAAAAAACATATTTAATAAATAAATAAACATAAATAAGTTTATTGTACATTAAAACACATAAATAAAATGGGACACCATGAGTCCACAGAGACATAAATATGCAAATAAACATGACAGTTTGATGAGGTAGAGGATGCTTATGTAGTTTCAAATACTTCTCCACAAAATATATTTTGCACAAGGCAAAACAGTAACTTTGGAATGGAGTAAACTGGCAGATGCCTGCTTAGTCAAGTAATTAAGATGGACATGATTAGTAATGAAACAAACTGACAGAATAAAGTATAAATTCTGTGGTATTTAATCAAAAGCTTTAAAACCTTAATCAATTGAGAAAACATCAGGCTCATCTAATCTGAGAGAAATTCTCCAAAATTGCTATTTTTAAAAATCTTAACCCACTTGAATCAAAGTGTGAAATATGATATATCAAGAACTATATAATCACATGGGGGAAGATGGCGGCGAAGGGAGTGCATTACCCCCGTGTACAATGTCACTGTGCGGGAGAATGACAAGTTAGAAAGGCTAAAAGCTATCTTGTTAGGAATTTCCAGCAAAATTGGGGTGCTCCAAAACCTAAAGGAAGGATTTCCATCGCACGAGGATCAGCTACGGGGGCTCAAACGCGAGAGATTTGTTCGCACGGAGGGTCACGCTGCTTATTCAGCAAATCGCCCCATGGCTAGAGTCTGCGGCGCGCTCTGGGAAACGGGAGATAGCAACGCAAAGATTCAGAGCTGCAGTTTCCGCGGGCTTCTGCCAGCTGTGCAATCACCGTACTAAGTGCTGAATTCTGGGTTTGAGACGGGGGAAGGAAGCGGTCCAATTCGGTTCTCCACACCGGTCAGACCACAGAGGAAGCCAGCGGCCACCATCTTGGAGAGCTGACGTCACCATCCCTGTTTTCGACTGATCTCAGCTCATTCAGCCATAGAACAGGTAATTTCAGGATGCCATTTGCCTGCGGCTCGCAGACAAATTACTCAGGCTCAGTGCTAATTAACCCGCGGAAACTGCTTCTTGGAGCCTGCTCCTATCAGAACATACACCGAGCACGGAGCGGCCGAATTCCGGCTCCCGGAACTGCTCTGGCCCAGGGCTAAAGAATCCGCGGAAACTGCTTCTCGGTCCGGGTCCTGCTGAACACTGTGGAGGTAAATACCAACCGAGCCTTCATAGGCAGTGGCAACAGGACTGAGACGGGGCTTGTGAGGGCCGGTCAGGACTCACCCGTTGCTTTGGTCACCCGGCAAAGGGAACGAAATGCTGCCATTCGCATGGGATACCAACATGGCAGAGATCTGATGTCATCAGAAAGCGGCGGAGGAGAGAACTTCATCGATACCAGCGGCGACAGAAACAGTTGGTCTCCTGGTAGAGAGGGTGAGTCACAGACACCCGAGTCTCTCTCGCTTTGTCGTCGAGCCAGAGGGGAGGAGTGGGGACGCCGCCCGCGCCTGGAACAGGCCCAGCGGCCCGCCGGCGTGACCCCAATTGGAGTAGGGGCAGAGCAGAGCCGCCACCTGCACCCGCAAGGTAGGCAGACCTGCGACTGACCGGCAGAACAGGACCAGTGGTCGGCGGGCGTGGTACACACGTCACCCCAAGTGGAGTAGGGGCAGAGCAGAGCCGCCACCCGCGCCCGGAACAGGCCCAGCGACCTGCCGGCGTGGTAGTCACGACACCCCAATTGCAGTAGGGGTAAAGCAGAGCCACCACCCGTGCCCGAAAGGTAGGCAGACCTGCGACCGACCAGCAGAACAGGCCCAGTGGCCTGCCAGCGCGACACACACGTCACCCCATTTGGAGTAGGGGCAGAGCAGAGCCGCCACCCGTTCCCGCAAGGTAGGCAGACCTGCGACCGACTGGTGGAACAGGCCCAGCGGCTGGCCGGGGTGGTAGGCACATCACCCCAATTGGAGTAGGAGCAGAGCAGAGCCTTTGCCCGCGCCCGGAACAGGCCCAGGGGTCCGCGGGCATGGTAGACAAGTCACACCAATTGGAGGAGGGGCAGAGCAGAGCCGCCGCCCGTGCCTGCAAGGTAGGCAGACCGCCGCCCAACCCTGCAAGGGAGACTTTTCAACTATACAAGAGCAATATAAATATATAGGGGGGAAAATTTTTCAAAAACACAACAGTTTCACCAAGCAGAAAGAAACGCAAGCAATATGAAAAGACAAGGAAAGAAAGGACCACAAGCAATGCAGGTCAACTCAACTTTAGAAGAGGTAACAGCTGCAGCAGATGGAATGTCAGATAAAGAATTCAGGATATACATGCTTCAGATGATCTGGAGTATCAAGGAAGACATTAGACAGCAAAATCAGACAATGAAAGATCACTTCGACAATGAATTACACAAACAAATCCAGGCAGCAAAAGATCAACTATACAGGGAGATAGAGGTTATAAAAAACAAACAAACAGAAATCCTAGAAATGCAGGAAGCAATAAACCAACTTAAAAACTCAATTGAGAATACTACCAGCAGAGTAGAACACTCAAAAGATAGAACATCAGACAATGAAGACAAAGTATTTCAACTTGAAAAGAACATAGACAGCTCAGCAAGACTGTTAAGAAACCATGAGAAGAACATCCAAGAAATATGGGATAACATAAAGAGACCATACTTAAGAGTCATTGGGATACAGGAAGGTATAGAGGTCCAAACCAAAGGAATGAGCAATCTATTCAATGAAATAATACGAGAAAACTTCCCAGACTTGAATAATGAGACAGAATCCCAAATCCTAGAAGCCTACAGGACGCCGAATGTGCAAAATCATAAGAGACCCACACCTAGACACATTATAATGAAGATGCCCAACATACAGAATAAGGAGAGAATTTTAAAAGCTACAAGGGAAAGGAAGCAGATTACATTTAGGGGTAAGCCAATCAGGATAACAGCTGATCTTTCAACATAGACTCTGAAAGCTAGAAAATCCTGGAATAACATATTTCAAACACTGAAAGAAATTGGGTTCCAACCAAGAATTGTGTATCCAGCGAAACTAAGCTTCAGGATGGAAGATGAAATTAAAACCTTCCACGATAAA